TTTTTTAAATAAGGTGTGTCTCTTTGCCAGAACAATGGCATTACTAGGAGCTGAGTTACTAACTTTGTCCACTTTATGGTATATATTGGTTTTAGTAAAAACTGTTTACCGCATTTACAGGTCATGCGACTATCAACTAGCTTCTTGGCAAGGCTCAGGCACAGTGTCTTTGGTCATTACTTTTTCACCTCATTCCCAGCTGAATTTTGACTTACGCGATCAAACTGCGTTTGCTGGAAGTAGTTATCATCGTCTCACTCTTAATTCCCTCAATCCTACGTGTGCATTGCCGTTGTAAGCGGAGGGGTGGGTTTGCACGGATTTACCAATCTGTTTCTTTGTACAGTTAAAGCATATTGTCCTTTTTGACAAAATGTGCTAACTTTGTGTTTGTTTTCAGCTGAAAATAATTCCCCACATAAATTATTGTCCTCAGTGTACCACCTTCGTTAGTGGTGAAGAAGTAAAATGCAAAATACAAAAGTACGAATCCACTTTGGACAAATCACTTTGGTGAACGTTTGAGTTACGAAACGTTCCCTCTTTAGAACGGATGATCGGGCATACCATTCGGTTGGCTGTTTGAAGTTAGTTAAAGAAGCAGAGCGATTTTTCCGTTATATTTCCATGTTTTGCAGCTTGCGTCTCCAGTTTCGTCAAAGAATCAGACAGCGTGCAACACAGCCGACTGCACCGACAGCCGTCGATCCCTCCCGGAAGGATATTGTGTGACACCGACAACTGTACGCAACAACACTGAATATACTGGTCACAACCAAAACAGAACTGACAATGGTGGATACACTCACATATGCAATCATTGCGATAAAAACTTTTCTGTTGATACGCGGCTGAGGATTCACTTGAAGAAGCACATTGACAGGAAACTGGACAACTACGAACAGAGCAGTAAACAGTTCGGAAGAGTGGAAATTTTACGGAAATGTTCTGGTGAAAAGCCGTTCGGATGTACTCAGTGCAAATTGGGCTTCAGGGGAACAACTGATTTGCAAAGACACATGTTAACTCATACTGGAGAAAAGCCATACAACTGCAAACAGTGCGGT